TATACCCATATATATATATATATATATATATATATATATAATTTATGTTTATTTTTCTGAGAGAGAGAGAACAAAGTGAGTAATTCTTGACTATTCAAAACTGGGTAGTCAGCCATTCATATATCTTCAGAAAGTAAGTCATAGTAAATAATTAAATTAATAATATTACCATTAATAAAGAAAATTGTTTTTTATAAAAATGCTATAGTCCGATATTGTGAACAGAATGTTTTTTTATAACTTTTTTTTTTTTAACTTTTCTAGTATTTAGTTTAGTTTAAATAAAGAAATATGTTTGGTTGCTGTCTATATCTATATCTCGTTACTAAAAGCAGAATCTTGAAAGTTTCTTCCACCATTTTTTTGACAAGCTTCATGTCAATAACCATTATCTCTCAAAACACGATAATGAGCACCCAGCTTGAGTGTGACATAATTGAGGATTGCACGTTATATGGATGTTTAGGACATTGAGTAAAAGAGTACAGGAAGTTCAGATAACTCAAAAACTATAAAGTTCTCTCATGGGTATTTCTCAGATAGTCCTAAAATTACAGAGACCATTAGAAAACTATGTAGCAAGACTCTGTAACTGTCCATTTCAGTCAGATTACTTATTAACTATTTATATTGATACATTCATCAAGTATCCTATTCGTAGCTACACCAGAAACAATTTGTTCAATATTTCTCCTTCCTAAGGTACACTCTTAAAAATAAAGGTGCTTCAAAAGGTTCTTCAAGTGATGCCATAGAAGAACCATTCAGTCAAAGGTTCTTTAAAGAACCATCTCTTTCTTACCTTTTTATAATCTGAAGAACCTTCTTTCGCCACAAAGAACCTTTTGTGAAACAGAAAGGTTCTTCAGATGTTAAAGGTTCTTTATGGAACCATTTAGACAAAAAGGTTCTTCTATGGCATCGTGAAGCACCTTTATTTTTAAGAGTGTACACTGATAAAGAATGGTTTAAAATGAACCTCTTAAAAGACTCTTAAAACAACTCTTAAAAGATTACCTTGGCAAAGTCAATGTGACCTAGCTCACATGAAAGCACATGGTTTTAACTAGGAGTGTTTGAAGATGTTTGAAATATTGTGAGAGAACAGTCAATACTCTTTTTGAATATATGGAATTTATTATCTAGTCTCATCTCATCTCTCATTATTTTTTAAAACAACGCAAAGAGATTTTATGAAGTAAAAAGTGCACAAAGAGGCTGAGCTGGAATGGATTCTTTGCAAGATGGGAACATTCACGGATGGGATGGGAACATTCAGTTCTGATGTCTGTCGTGCTTCCCTTTTTGAAGTGAGAAACAGAAAATCTAGGGATGTAAACAAATTATGTGACACTTCAAAAGCGTATTATACTCAAATGAAAACATAAACACAAATGGAGTAATGAGTGAAAATGATTAATGTAAAGTATTGCTGTACATCTCACACAGAGCTTTAGGGTACAAAGGAAAAGATTTTCGAAGCGTATGATGATTGAAAACTTGAATGATGTAGCAGCTGTGAAAAGAAATGATCAAAGATGCTTTACTGAAAATCATTTCAAAATAAAGGCAGCAAAGGGATATATACAGTACATATATATAAAATTAAGACCCCCCAGGGAAACAGGGGCAGAAATGGTATAAAATAGTAGCTTATAGATATTGAGACAATAAACATAGGCCAAGAGTAAAATAATCAAATAAATATAATAACAACAAATAAATAACAACTTCAGTAAAAGATAAACCATTACAGATCATTTTGAACACTCTTTATTGGAACAACAAATCTTTCCCTGCTTTTAGTTACCAAACAATTTAACAGCTACAATGCTGAAGGCATGTTTCAGAAATGACTCTCTGTTGTGATTGTCACAGTCACTGAGCCCACTTTGCACATGCTTCAAAACAAATCTATTTTTTCCTCACTTATGGAAAACAATTTGTTTCCGTATAGACATCCTCAATCTTCCTGCCTGTCAACTATATCTCTAGTGCCATTTTGAAGTGGATTGGATCTTGTGTTGAATTAAACAATTTGTTTAATTGTTGAAAAACCATTGATTTAATTCTTTTGAACAAAAATGAAAACCATAAAGCTCAATTTTAAAATTTCACAAAATAACTGTATATACATGTTCAAATAATTTTATATGTATAACAATAATAATATACAATTCTTTTTTATGTTTAAATTATTATTATTATTATTATTTAAATTACAATTTGAAATTTACTGGCCACATGTGTAAGTAATATTTTGCAGTGCTTAGCAACAAACTGTTGTTTAGGAAAATGTTGTGGTGGTGCTTGTTTCAATTTGGTGTTTTGGGAAAGAAAACATTTTCAAAACGGCCCCCGAGGGCCTTTCAGTCCCTTTGCAACCTATGCTTTCTATTCAATTAAATTCAGGACAAAGGAAAATGCAAGTGAAACTGAGATATTGCTGATGACTTTGAGTGAAGGTCATTATGGACGCTGCCATTATCGCCACAGTTTTTGACAATCCAGCTTTGAATATAATAGGTAAACATTTTACGAAGGTATTCAAGCCCTATTACGTGCTCACATTTGCCTACAAAACAACCTACAAAAACAATTCAATAACTATCTGCATAGCTGTTTTAGATTCCCAAAAGAAACGTGTGACTTCTCAGGACCCCTCATCTACACTCGCTTGACATGTTTTGCCTTTGCCTGCAGTTACAGAGGAGCAAATGAGCGTCTGGTAAAGCAGAAAACAGGCTGTTATTCTTGACCGATTTATCTCTTTCTCTCTCTCTGTTCTCTGTTCTGTGTTCTCTGTTTCGCAGCAGGATCTTGCTGCAGGACAGCAGGCTGCTCATTATGGTTCAGCACAGGGCTTGATGTAATTACACTCTGCTCTGGCGCTTCAGGTGCTGGAGTGTCTGTTTGATCATTGTTATTGAAGTGGGCAGCTTTTCAAATGGCAGACACACACAGAACAGCAATGAACTTGCTTGAACCAATGTAGAATAGGCCATATTTGTATTCTGCGTCTGAAAATCTATTTATCAGGAAACATTAGAGGCCGAATTAACAGAGTTTGTTTTCAGTGCACTGACTGAACACCTCTAGTCTAGTCTAGTTTAACCAGGTGCTAGTCTAGTGCTTCCCAATGGTATTTAAATGAAGTCAAAAGCTGTTGCGATTTCTTATCTCTCAATTTAGACTTTTTTCTTCTTCTCAGAATTGTGTGATATAAACTCGCGAGATGTTAACTCGGAATTGCAAGCTGTGAATTTGCAAGAAAAACAGTCATATATTGTTACTCTGGGTGTATAGCTTGCCATTATGAATTTATATCTAAGACAAAAATGTCAGAATTGCAAGAAAAAAAATCTAAATTGTGAGATAGAAGGTCGCTATTACCTTAATTATTTTTTTTTAATTCTGGCAGAAACCCCTTATATAATTCATGGTGATGCCCAAAACCCATAATTCGCCACAATAAGGGGGAATAAATATGCAATTTCAGACTCACAACTGCTTCATAGAAAGTATCATTTCAAAAGGGACACTTATACACTTGAAGTACTAATATACTTTTAAAGCAACTAATAGTTTTGTGTATTTCTGCAACTTAAAAGTCGTAAATATACCACTGTCGAAATTACTGCATTTGTTGTTGCCGTAAAGCAATCCACCCTTTAAACTGGAAATTTGTACTCCTAATCAAACATGCAGTGCATCCGAAATCACGTACTGTTTGAGTAGGTACTGTATTTGAATTTACTACATCCACCGTGTTGCTACTGTCACGACCTACCAGTGTCCGTTGCGTCACTTCACTGCCATTTGATAACTTCTCTCCCGTGGCTTCATGGGACAGTAAAGTGTCCATCGTATGCGCACTTCAGAATCACGCCTGAAGTAGAACAGTAGGTCATCTGGGTACTTGCCGCCTACTGTTTTTCAAAATACTATGAATTCAGACAGATACTCGCCTCACATACTGTTTTTCACATACTATATTGTGGGGAACTATGCGATTTTGGAAGCAGCGTCCCAAAAAAGACGTCAGTGAACCATGAGAAAGATTTTGAAACTGATATTTCAAGGTAAAAAAACCCCCATACTGTTGCTTTAAAGTACTAATATGTAACTTTAAGTTACTTATATATACCAGTTACCTGCAAGTTATAAGTTACCTTACCTTACCTAAGAGACAGCGTTGTATTTTTTTTCTGAGAGTGTATGAAATGCATTAAGGACATAGCTGTATCAATATAATAACATTGTTTTGGTATTTTTGGGTGTTTGTTAAAAGACACAAACGACACACACATCGTGTGTATCCCCTGCCGCCAGATATCGTGGGCAGGGAGAAACACAGCGTTTGTAATGCCGTTCACTCGCCATAGACTTTCTCATTGTTTTATATATATATGAGTGCTTGTGCGGACAGACAACAGTAAATAGACAGACACATACACAGAGCGCTACTGAAGGGCAGAAGCTGGTTTGCGCCCGGCCGGATGTGCCTTTATGCTTTCTGGTGCTTACGTCACCCTGCTCGTGACGTCTCGCTGCTCCATTGGACGGATTTGACACGTGCTTCAGAACGCGGTCACGCAAGGGCGTTCCCAAAGCGACTCGACGCAGCTCGAGTTCCTGAAGGGGAAACAACAGTTTTATAAGCCAAACTTAACAGTTCATTATTTAGATTTCCTAGAATTTACATTCACCTATGTAAATCTTGGTAGCCATCAAAAACAAAGCAAATTCACAGCTGTCTCTTTAATGAGAGCGGTCTGGTTTTACTACACAAATGACCATATGAAGTGAGTATTTAGAGAGCATTATCTCTTCTTCCATCTGAGCCCTGCACAGTCGTTATCTGGTTTCTGGTTTTGTTTTTGTGTGTACGAGCCACATTTGTTTCCATTTGTGTGCATGTGCAAATAGCAGGAACAGCATTATTGTGCCATAAGGGCATGATTAGTATCCTGTTTCACACACACACACACACACACACACACTCTCACACTCTTGTGCATTGTTATAGCTTCAGCTCGAGCTGTCGTAAGTCTGGTGTTAATACCTGGATAAGATTTAATATTGTTTGGTCCTGGTAAGGTATGACTGTTGTACATAGTTTCAGCACTGAGGTAACACCACCACAATTGTGTCGAATGAGGACTGTCATAAAAAGAAATTTGGCATGTGAACTGACAGATGTACAGTGGCCATAAAAAGTATTTGAACACATAATGTATGAATTTATTTGCATTATAACAAAATTTCAAACCCTGTGACATTTATTTTTTTTAAAGAGGCATAGCACAAACACACTTCTCAAACAAAACATTTTACAATAAAAAGTTAATTCAAATGATAAAACAGTATATTGTTAAAAATGAAGATGAAAGTATTTGCACATTTTCTGAAGAAAATGTTCTTAGCTCATTTGACTGATTCGTACACTACAGCTGTGTAAAACGTTGGAATCAGTAAGCATTTTTTTTAATTATTAATTTTGTATTAATGTTTTATTCATCAGAGAAGTGACAGTGAAAGAGTAATGAGTCCGCTTATAATAGAATGTTCGAAAGGGTTTAACCTTGTTTCAGCAGATATTAATTGGATGCGTGCATTTGCTGTCTAAATGAAATTAGTTATGTTCTTGTATGTCTTTGATATAAGCAGCAGAACAAAAACAATTTAATAAAGAACAGTTTTGATGATCCTGACCTACAGTCTGGACATTGACAAAGCAAAATGGAGATGCTCTTTTGTTTGGCATTTATGAAAAGAGTGCCTTTTTGATGCAACTCAAGAAATGTCTTTCGGTTCCGCCAGTACACAAGGGGTTTAAGCCACGGTCACGAGTCTACGCCTATTTCTAGGAATGAGAGTGGTAATGAATGTGAACATGTTTGCGTCTGACATTGTTTATTTTGGCAACCTCCCATCACCCATCTGCTTCATCTCAATTTTCCACCTCTCTCTTCCTCTGTCTTTCTTGTTATATCTTTCTATTCTTCACACATATCCACTCATCTTATCACGGTTGTGTGAATAAAACACTCTGGTCGAGTGGCTAAAGGAAATGGATGAGAGAGCGTGCCGTACAGGAAGTCAGGAAGCAGTTGCATTATTATTCAAATTTGGCATTTTAACAACGTTCTCTTGGGAATACAGATATTACTGAAATTCCATGCTTGCCAAAATGGATTACAATTAAACAACGCTGAGTAATTCCATGATGATTCAGAACAATTATAATACAGAGAGGAGGAAAACAAAGCTTAACTTTTAAGTGTCTGATTTACTTTAGCTGATTTACTAGCCTTGCTTGGTAAAGAAAAGGACAAAATCAGGCCTCATGTTTTCAGAAATAACAGAAAGGACACAATCTTATCTTAGTCATTTTTACCTTGAAGATCAAACAAACAGACAAGCAATCTTAAAGATAATAAATTAAAGTCATTTGTAAAAGGCTGATATGTACATCGAAAAAAAATAATCTTCAGAACTTTAATGTGATTATGGATTTTATATGATCAACTACAATCATACATGCATATAGTTTTATGCAGATTTCTTGTATAAGCAAGGTACTCTGTCAGTCCTTACTGACAATTTTTAGCCAAAAAAAAAAATCATAATTTTAAAATATGTATATTTTTTAATTAACTAAAAGAGCTGTTTCTGCTCTTAAAATTCTTGTGGGATTAATTCAATTTATCTTGAATTTAGTTAGTGATGCCCAGTTATTGATGGCCATATTAAACTAAACCTGTCCTGCAGTGAACTAATAATTTGCTTTTGGAACATCAGTAAGGACTTCTGGAGGCACCTACCACTGCTCATAATATGAATGAATGTTATTAGATTTAGTGACATAGCTACACACAGTATAATAAAGAAACATGCAAGAGTATATGAGACACTGAATATCACACTTGTGGGTTACATATGTTTGATATGCCGTTCTATCTGCAAACTTGACTTACAACTCACGACTGTCTGCACATGCAAATAATAGATGTTAACTTCAATAACATTTTGCAGTAATCATTCTTGTTTAGAGTATAATAGTTTATAGGTATTACAGTGTGTATACATTTATGTTATTGTGATAAATGGTTGCTGTAGGAAGTCGGAAAAAAAACAACACTTGTTTTGGGTTTCCATGACTTAATCTAAATGTTTTCTGCTTCTAAAGTGGCATGGGAATAAACATTTCCTTTAGAATAAAAAATGATGTGCCCAGTGCTTTATAGAGATTCCCTCCTACTTGAAATTCCCATCTTAGCAACTTTCAACAACGGTAACCCAAACAACAAGTTCCCAGAGACTGGAGTGCATCTTAACATGTCACACTTTTTTTTTTTTAGCTTTGACTTATAGTGAAACTTTCAATACAAAGTGGGTCATTTCCCCATGATTTCCATTGGTTTACCATTTGGGCATTTTAATGTTAACACAGACATTTCCAAGAAAAAGCCCACACTCTCCCATTCCCATTCCCATTCCCCAGCCTCTTCACCTTGATGAACATCTACGATGAACTTAGATGCTTGGGTCAGAACGTCCTCATCAAAAGTACATGTACCACTTCTGCACTTATCCGAAAAGCCATAAATTACAAGCGGGGATCAGTTTAAGTCTTTATTTAGTCTACAGGGATCAGAGTGTGACTCCAATTAATAGGACATTATATATACAAGATTTTAAGAGGCGCTTCAAATCCTTGGCATTTTGCACTTGTACAAATTAAATGATTGTCTCTTAAGCCCTAATCAACTTTTTTTATTAAAGTTCTTGACTTTGACAATCAGAGCACTGGGCAGGAATCACATTAATTTGAACAATTTATGTTAAGATGTTTTTGTTAGCAGTGAACCAGTTCAGTCAGCTGCAGGGGGACATTGCAACTGTGCCTGGTGTTTTCCACTTTTACCAAATAAAAAACTGTGGCATCGTTTAATGAGTTTTAGAAGTGTGTCAAAAATGTATTTTTAAAGACTTTTAGTTTGAGTAAAATGATATGAATTTGTGACCAAAGAACTGAGTCTCCCTGCAGCTGGACAAATCGGTTTACTTGAGGAGTTCCTGGTACTGCTCAGACCGCAGGAACCGACCGAAGGAGTCTTTCTCCATCAGGGTGTAGATCCGGCTCTGAGCCAGCTCGAAAGAGGAGGGAGAAAGATCCACCAGGTTCCTCAGAGTCACATCTTTGGTGAAGTGGTCGATGTTCACCTAAAAGCATGATATTGGGGATAAGGAGGAAGTGTGTAAAAGTCAGTCACAAAATGCTACAAATTGGACAAAAATAATGAGTAAGAAACACATTATTTCAACTTTGACAGTGTCTCAGCACTCTAGGAGGGCTGTGGAGCAGTCTGTCTTCTGGAACGAATTCAGACAATTTGACTGATTCCCTGCAGTTTTTACGAATACAGGCTGGATTAGAGAATTGTATTCATTTTTATTTTCTTCCTGACCATCATGTTGACCATATCAGTTTCCTTACATAATCTTATATAGAGAAATGCCTCAAAAGTCTTTGACTTGTTAATTATTAAATTTTTGCAAGCAGCAACCATTTGTTTTGAATGTGTCATACCCATTTATTTTTTTAAATCATTGTTTTATATTTAAATGTATTTAGATTTTGTTTTGTTTTATTGTAATATGCACAATCAAAGTGTTTGATCATAATAATGAAAGAACAGAACTAAAAAAATATCAGTACAAAATATTGATGCACTGTTTGCATTTAATTGATTTTAAAAAACATGGTCACTAAGAAACAAATAGCTATTGTTATATTTATCAAAATTTGGTATGTTGTCTAATGGCTGTTACATAACAGGTAATTTAAACCTCAGCACATGGCTGTGCAAACATCCTGATACAATTTTTTTTTCAAATAATGATCATTTACTGAATTATTTTTAACCTTTAAACAAAAGGACAGCATGAGTTTAAATGTGGGTTTTAGTGGCACAGGGTTAGAACCTACAACCTTTTTGGCTATTAGAAACATTATACATTAAATTACCTTGCTAATACTTGAGTGGACAACAGCATTTTTATTAGGTTATATCCAGCTCAAGATGCTTAAATATCAAATATGAGTAACCAACAATCATGTAGATAAAACAATATGCCTAAATGATATATTTCAGATGCAGAACACAGGTTTAGGAGCGGTACCTTAACGGCACTTTCAAGTTTTTATACAGTAGCTCCTTGGGGACATTTTGGGGGGAGAACATTAGCCTCAGCGTTTATACAGTGAACTGATACGAAACATATTTTCACAGGAGATGAATAACGAGTCTGATGGAGAACTGCTTCCTTCTACCTCTGAAGCACTGTACTTTTTTATCTGAACTGTAAATCTGAGTGTGATTAGCACAAAAAAATCTAAAAAAAAAAAAAAAACAATGGCAAAACAAACAAACCTCTTTGGGCCCACCGGTCTGAATGAAGTTCTCATAAATCTTGTTTGCTTTGATGGCCATTTTCAGAGGGGACTTGGTCTTTTTGAAGTCCTCGCAAGCCTCCCAGAACTCAATATTTTCCTCGCTGAACTCAGATCTGAGGAAGCTTTTGAAGGTGGCCAGGCCGTCTGGAATTAAAAATGTGGAAAAGCTATTAGAGTGAGTACAGCTCTGTGTGTTCTTTTTGTGCTAATGTGTTGGCGACAAGCTGCCACCGGAGACCCCGGTCCCACCGGCTCTTAACATCCTTATCCAAACATTACCGCCATGCATGCCTAGGGCACACAGCCCTTAATGCAATCCCTCACAAATCCATGCTGTATTACAGCATGAGGTATTCAAGTACACGAATCACCTCTGTGGATCAACCAATGTAATTACTGACTATCCAATGCAGATTTATTTTAAGACTTGCAATTATTTATATGGGAATGACGTTTTAGGTTCAACACAAAAGAAATGCTCTTATATTTGAAAAAAAAAAAAAAAAAAAAAAAAAAAATATATATATATAAGTACACATATATATATATAATGCAGTACGGACTGATTAGGCTAATCTGCAAACATTCCACTAAAATAAAATGAACACATTTTCCAAGGCAAAATGCTATAATTAAACATGACAAACTGGCCTTGAAACAAATAATTGAATGAATAACAAACATTTGTTTTCCAAACTATTATTGACTAATTCAGCCCTTCTGTGCAGACAAAGGATCTTTTTGACATTTTGTTTATTTACAGATTTGCTTGTGTTTGTTTTTTGTGAAGAACAAACAGTGAGTCAGATGGTCAGAAATGAGTTTTACAATGATAAATAATGAAAAGTTAGATAATTTACTGCTGAGAAGGAATACACTTTAAAGTTGCATTACAGAAGCAATCGTTGTTCAAACTTCATTACAGCAAAGGCCTATTTACACCAAGTACGATAACCATAATGAAAACTATATTAGCGTTCACACCATTGGATGATAACATTCTGTTTCTAATAAGCATGTGCTGCATGTCTGTCACTTTAAATGCTCAAACTCCTTAAAGTCGAGTGGATTCTCATTGGCTGTCAATGTTTTTATTGTTCATCCGCTGAACAAAGTCATTCTGAAAATGATTCCAGCAATATTATTCTTCTGTGCAGTTATCATTATAGGACTCTGCTGTTATGGATTCTACTAGTTATCGTCCTTGGTGTGAACGAGCCTTAAGCCAACGACAATTTATATTTTGAGCAGTCAAGTTCGATTTGGTGGGATATTTCAGGTTTACCTCATTCGTCTTTGCATGTTCGTAAACTGAGAAAATAAGGTCTGCTTATTATAGCAGCACATATGCTACTTGCTCAGACTACAGAAGCTTTAAATATCTTTATCTTATAGGACTTTCTTCTTGCAATCATATTCATCCCACGGAGAAGAGCAGTGACAACCTTGCAATTTTTGTTTCAACCAGAGGTGGCTATAGAGAGGACAAAGTTATGTAGTGCAGGTTTAATTTCAATAAGGATGGTCAAAGAATTATGTGTGTGCATTATACTTTGAAATGTTCCTAGAATCAACAAAATCTGAAAAACATAAAAAATATAAATAAAAATAAACCTCACGAGGACATCTTCAGTTGGAAAACAATAAATAAAGCAAAGGTTTTCTTTGAATTATAATTAGTTCCACATGAAAACACTAGAAGTCTATAAGTGATTTAGAAAATGTTTGCTTATGTGTGCTTGTAACTCAGAGAGAATCTTCTTTTTATGGATCTAAACTGAACAGTCTCGTAGATGTGTAGCTTTTAAAGGTTAATGTGTCCGTTCAAGCACAAGCTATTTACGCATACCAAATCAAGTGCATCAGTGCAACTTCATAGAGTTCCAGAGGTTCTAAACCGACAGATATATACAAATGTTTAAAATGTGTTTTACATAATCAACTGATAAACTAAACCTTCCATTGATTGGTCATGCCTGGAAGAACTTTTAGGATGTAAAATGCAACCGAATGGCCATTAAGATAAACATCATACTTACAGCTGTTGGAAAGGAACTTGTCAAGGGACTCACGCCACTGGGCTGCTTCTTCAGGTGTGGGTCTGAACAAAACAAGCAGATTCCTTCACTTAGTATTTTCCTCTTTGTAAATGGCCAACAAGTTTCCAAACACAGTCAATGGTATAATCATTTACATTACATGTAAAATTACATGTGATTAAGGAATATGGTACTTACACAGAAAGAAAGGGGCATTATTAGCAATATATACAGACAAACTTAGAGTGGTTACAATCATCCAGGTTTAAATCACGCTCAAATTGATTTAATTTTGAGGCAATATTTACACTGAAGAATGCAGGCAGCTATGGTAAGGGGCATGACATTTCCCGACCAGATACCGAGTGGTGCCAATCACAACACACACTGGCCCAGCTAACCAATCACAGCACATTTCGTATTTCAGAAGGCGGGCCTTCATTTGATACAGGAACTATTCGAGCCGTTCATTCCAGACTGGGGAGAGAGGTGTTGTAATAATGTAAAATATGTGAAAAATAATGTGTTTTTCGAACAACCTAGTATGAGAGCCTGTTCTAGTACACCCCCAAAACAAAATCAAGACTTTGTAAAAGAGCATAATAGGACCCAGAACTAATAACTGGGGAAGTTTTGTGGTGATATGCTTTAGTTATTTTGTTTATTCATCTGCAATGCCTTGTGTCAAATGTATGCAAATTAGCACATTTTAATTACTTAATAATTTGCATATCAATTTGGTGATTCTAATGACATTATTAATTTTACTGTATTCAGCTGTCGTTTCTCCATTAAGTTAGCCTGTATACCCATGATATATTTCCTTAGCTAAACTTTAGCTAACTTATTACATGGTCGCTCATGAGTCCTGGATGTTAGCAAGACAAATTCATTTTATTTGCCTTTTGTCTTTTGAATAATTAGCTGTAAAATGGAGGCACAGGTCTTTTGTTCACTCACATCCACACCAAAACAAACACAACTTGAAAGGGAGGGAGGGCTTCACTTCTGCGGCTCTCTGCCTGTCTGTGTGTTATGTGCCGATCAATGTGTGCAATACTGTCTTACTGCTGTGCTGCGCGGAGACGCAAAGGGAAGAAAGGCATCGGAACCGGAACTCGACAGAGTCTCAACATTTCCCGACCCGGCCTAATATTTAGATTTTTTATTTGTTTGACAGGGAAAGCTGTGCGCAAACAGAAACATGCACACATAATACATATATTCATTTATTTAAAAAAAAAATATATAAATATATATATATATAATATATAAATAACTCCCAGAAAAAAGGACACTTTCTCTCGAGGAAGAAAAAGGACAGGTGCTCAAACCCCCTTTGATGTCTATGTGTGCACGTGCCTGGTCCAGTTCATAACCATGTCTTTCAGTCTAACTTGATTACTGATGTATTTTCTATTCACATGTCTTATCCTGCGTGATTAGGATATATATATATATATATATATATATTTTCTGCTTGAAAATTACAACCCCATTATCAACACTTACATAAGGCATTACATAAGTAAAATGGAGCTGAAGTGGTCTGCAAATGTTTTTACGGTCAATTTGGACACAATTTTCATTATAAACAGACTCTTTTCAGTTTTCCATCACAGGATGTACTAATATGGCCTTCCTCATTTTTTTCTCTCTGACTCCCTTGCTCTCCACTGTTCAGCCCTTTTCTCCACACTTCAACCTTTCAGTTACGTCTGATAATCTGTATAATTATGGGCATTAATAGATGAATAGGTAGTTAGTGTGCTCTATTCTCATGCTTTTTTTATGAATTCACACTGAACTTTGCTTCTTTGCTGTAGCTTTCCAAGTTAGAACCTCATCATTTTCTACAGTATAATACTTAAAAATAGTTATACACAAATAGGGCCAGACTAACATAAAAACTATGGGGCTGAAGCCCCAGGGCCCGAGCAATGAAGGTGTCCCTGACTGGTTGTGGAGGAAATAAAAAAAAATAGGCCTAGATTGATTGGCCGATGGCAGCTCCTGTACTTTCTCAGTGGGCCAATCGCCGAAACCCCACCCGCCCACTCATATTATTCATCCTTGTCCAGTGTCTGTGCTATTTCTCTCAAAAAGTTATGAGCGATGCAATATCTTTGCACTGGTTAAAACTAGAGTTACAGGTATTTTTAATTACCTCGGCTTTACTGGAGCGCATGGGAAACAAACACCAAAAACCGTGTGATGAAAAGGTGTTATCTGATTAAACCTTGCAGTGCGAGAGAACAGCTGGACCGGACCGGACCGGTGATTTTGGCACAATGCTTTCGCCGCTCTATTGAAGTGATAACCAGCACTTGATCCATATGAATTTAACGCACGACATAAGTATACAAGCATTTCAAACCACATAGCACCACCCCTATTTAGAAATATGGCATTTTGGTTATTATTATTAATGTCACTATTATTATAAGCTACTGATAATAAATATTGGCTAATATAAGGGCAAAACATCACTTTTATAGTGATTGTTTTAGTTTCATGTATTTAAGAATATATATATATATATATTACATAAAAAACACTCTTTTTCTATTATCTATCTAAGATTTATATTGAGTGAGTAAAACATGGTGTACAGCAGAAACTATAAAAAAAGACTAAATATATTGCAGGGACTATAGTAGAACCCTGAAGAAGGCTTGAAATGTGTGCTTGGCAAACAACATTAAGATGCTCTATGGCCTGTCGAACAAATGCCTTTTTTTATCCTCACAACATGAGTACCTTGGATTTACCTCTTTGTCCAGTGAGCACCAGTGGTTAACAATTTGGAGACCCTTGAAACACAATTCAAATTAGAGCTGAGCTGAGCTTTCGAAATGTTCTGTTTGCACTCAGAGTTGCAAAGCATCCCCCGGATGACTGTTTAAAAAACATCAAACAATCTTTCTTAGATGATTTCCTCCTTTAAACATCATAGTGGATGATTTCCACCTGAAAACCCCCCAAAACCCCCCTGAAACGATTTCCACGTTTAAACATCATGGTTGATGATTTCCCCCATTTTAAGTGGATGATTTCCACCTGAAAACATACAACAATCATCCTGAAATTTCCACCTTTAAGTGCAAACAGAATATTTAGAATGGTCATTTCAGTTTTATTTTAATTTAAAAAAAAGTATTTAAACTAATGGTGACTTATGTTTAAAGGGGCTCTTTGTATACACAGACTTTTTGGTCTAAATGAGTATGAGAGGTATGAGAAGAGACTGAAGAGCTGAAGTCCCCATTAGTAAGGAAAAGAAAAAAAGAGAGGAAGAGAAAACATTACAAGGAAAGTGAACAGAGCCAACAGGAACTCACTTCTGAAGCTTCTCTGGTTTCTTCTCAGGCTTTTCTTGGTAGGGGATAATAAGGTCGATGGAATTCTCTGGCTTCTGAAGCAGAGTTCCCAATTTAGTCTTGATCTCCTTAGCCCTGAAGACAGCACAAACACAAACACATACAGATGTCCATTAGCGTGTTTAACATACACTAATAAAGGATTCATGTTATGTATGAATGGAATTTCAAATCAAATGTTGAGGACATTTCTAAAATGTACAACATACCTGTCAACAGATTATAAAATATCAGCCTAGCGTCATCTATTTTCTTCTGTCAAAATACACATATTGTTTTACAGAGAATGATAATTTGTTCCATGTCATTTTTATCCTTTTGCACGTCAGCTATAGAAACCTTTTCTTCACTGCTTATTATTGACCTGTACAGCTGTCATCAGTACAGTAATTACTACAGTTTGACAGATGACACAATAAAACAACACGTGTTGAAGGTGTTCAATTCACACCTATTCAGAACTATTTCACACTCCCTGTAGAGATAAAAACAGATGCAATATCCTTTTTGTATGTTTTGTGACAAAAACAAACAAACATATTCCTCCCAGATGACTGTGGATGAAGTGACGTCAACAAACTTGGTGATTTGTTGAGGTTTCGTGAACATCTTGCATCTACTGTTCCAAAAATATTGACATCAATGCACACATTTCTCAGCTTAAAAAGCCCATTTACTAAAATTATGATTTTATGGCTCAATTATCTAATGCAACATTAAAAAATCTTTCTGATGTACAAATAGACTTTTCAGAAGTACTCCAGGCCCCGTGCCAGACATTAAGACCAAAGGCAAGAACAATGATAAACATATGTTTACACAATGAATGAGTCAATAGCACAAATTGTTTAATCAGTGTATGACCCAATAGTCACAATAGAAGTCCTCATTGCTATACTTCTATGCTAGTCTGTTCTCAGGAATTCTGCTCCAAATCTTGTTATGAACAGAGAACTAAACAAAGTTCAGGGTGTACTGGTTTTTGGTAACGTTGGGGAACCTTGATGTTTTCAGAGACAAAACTAAGAAGAAGAAAAAAAACCGAAAAGAAGTGGAAAATAATATAAACTTAAAATGTACCATACAATACATATGTACAATGCAAAATGTACAATCCTTCAGATTCTATCAAATTTATATTGAATAATTGAAATTATTTGACCAAAAGACAACTGTGAGGCCAAATGTTCCTGTGGCTCAGTGGTAGAACATTGCATTAGCAGCACAAAAGATCGTGGGTTAGATTCTCAGGGAACACACATACTGGTAAAAAAATGTATAGCCTGAATGCACTGTAAGTTGCTTTGGATAAAAGCGTCTGCTAAATGCATACATTTAATTATTTTTATTATTAATTAATTATTAAATTAAATAATGAATAAAGTTTTCCTATATACAGTGATCAATACTCACTACCTAAACCTCATACAAAACACCATACAGACTTTCTCAAAATGGTATTTTGAGAATTCCCAGCTGCTCCAGAATACACAGATATTGCAAAACACACAAACACTGTTTCCCAAAGGAGGCTGCTAACCGACTTGCGTAGATAATGTAGCATGGAGTGAATTTTAAGTTAATACATGGTGCTGCTAAAATGTTTGAAAGATCTTACCTTTCCAGGCATGTCTGGGGCAGGGCAGCTAATCCTTTACACATTTTCTGATCTGTTCACTTTAGGTTTTAGAGTTATTCCACCACACCAAATGAGTTGTTGTCTGCTCTCTCTTTTAGAAGCTGTCGTCCTGCTTCCCGCTATTATATGGAGAAAGTCTGCTGGCCCAAAGCCAACAACTCAAGAGCCAATCAATCCTGGCTTGCAATTACATTCAGAGCTTAGAGAGCTCTGGAGATAATCAACACAAGACAGGAACTTTTAAACTTGCCAAAACACTTGAAACATCAGTACATGGCATTTTAGATAAATATCTATGCTTATCAACAGACAATTAAACCAGTTATTACTATAGAAACACAAAAAGCTGTTTTGTAAAGTAAATTTATACAACAAATGTTGAATATTAGTTACACTTACATTAACCCTCTGAGGTCGATTAACGCGGATACGCGTTTTGTGGCATCTTCTCCTGATCACACCGAAAATAACTTAAATTACACTTTCAGTTTTGATCTTACAGATAAGAGCAATACATTAATCGAATCTGTAAAGGGTCTACTTTTATTTGTATACACACATAAAAACAACAGAACTTTGTGCATTTATAAAATAAAGAAAACAAACAGGGTGTGCTGTCTGCCGCCTTGGTCTGCGTGATCTTTATTTAGAAACGCGTCATTAAAATGAACTGTCCACCTTCTTGTAAGTAGTTGTTTTAAACATGCATGAACTATGATCATCTAACAAAGTCAGTCTAACCATAATTACTACTAGCTATCTACTAAACAGAAGTATAACTTTTTGGATGGCCACAATCATAATTAGAAAGATCAAGACCTGTTGCAGTCTAAACTGGAACAGATGGAAGTAACTCTATTACAGTATATACCTTATGATAAATATAAAAAAGGGAAATGTATTTAGAATGTCAGTGTAACAAATTGACAAATTCATGTAAGCATAATGACAGTAAATTAAAAAAATTGTGTGTTTATACAACCAATCTCCAAATACATACATTCATAAACAATGCATTAGCAAACTATATATTTTAAAATAGTATCATAATTTGCTTTCCACTGGATTTTTTGAAGGTCTTTTCTGAAATGCAGTATTTTCATTATTTGCATTTAACTCATAAAAATAAGTAGAAATAATTAGGCATATGCTTTCTGTGTATTCATACAGTACATTCCCCAGAGTCATTAAAGTATAAAAAAAAACATTCAAATGTTCTTTCTGAGGAATGATAGTGGAAAATTTCGACACAGTATTGTCTCTTTTGGAGACAACTAAACACACTCTCAATTACACAGATCTGCTAGTACATTGCACAGTAAAAAAAAAAAAAAAAAAGATAAT